CTCACACACACACACACACACACACACACACACACACACACACACACACACACACACACGCGCGCGCGCGTGCGCGCGCACACGCACGCACCCATACACACACCTCACTTTTTACCGGAAGAATATACCCTAAAACATCCAGCAAAAACCTTACCAACTTGGCTGATTCTGCTTTTCATTAAAACGCAGCGACCATAAACCACCGTTTTTGTGAAAAAAGGGGCGCTAAATGGGAGTAAAGAACAGATAACTCCCGTTGCACAGTGCACATTAACGTGTACAGCAGCCCGGAGTTACCTCACATTTTTTTGGTGTTTATTGCTTTTTTCTCCCTTTTCTCTGTTATTATTCAGCAACAGGGGCATTAACTTTACATTTGAGCGGAGCAGAATATATTGGTTCCGGTGCGGAATAAACTCACTTACGCACACGAGTTATTTTGACATGATCTTTGCGTGGTTTGCCGTCGAGAATGTTTGATTTTTACAGATTATGTCAATGTTTTGCGAACACACGTCTTCTAATTAGACCCCCCCCCCCGCTATTTTTTTAAATACGGGGTATTCTTTCCTCTGTGCAGAGAAGATTCGAGTGTACTGTGTTATTTTCTTTGCTCTCCACACACCTTTAAAGCTTTATAACACAGTATAAATCATTGTCCACCTCAAGGGTCTACTTTAACCTTCTCCCCTCCCCCAATCCAATTCTTTCTTTAAAAAAAAAGGTTAAGTGCCTTTCGCCCATGACGTCACGGCAAATAAATGCTACCTTTGCAGCACATGGAGTGGAGACCCCCAAATTGCGCAGTACGTCACACGAGTCTCTCATCCTCATATTTCCCATTCAGATTACATGACACTAAAGCACGACGTGAATTTTCATTCCTCGAAAAATAAATTTAAAAAATTGTTTGGCCGACCCTACATTTTGTCTAGCATTTCAGAAGATTCCCAAAGAGAATAATAATAATAAATAAATAGCATTTGTATAGCGCATATCCCCGCCCAACAGCAGGCTCTATGCGCTTTACACTATATTATTACCCCAGCAGACCATAGAACACTCTGAAACATTCTCAGCTTCCGCGGAAGCATACAGTGCAAGCTGCGGATTTCACGCGCTCAAACACTATCAAACTGACAAGATCTTTCTCTGTCTATAGCTGGGTACCCATTTCCACCTGGGTGAAGTGAGGAAAATTTGTGCAAAGTGCCTTTCCCAAGGACACAACATCGGGCCCCTAACGGGATTCGAACCCACGACCTTACGGTTGCGAGTCCGAGAGCCTAACCACTAGGCCACCGACGCCACTAAAGAGAAGAAGAAGTTTTATTCAGCTTTTATGCAAACGTGCGTCGTCATGACGACTAATTTCTCCACAAAGACACCGACCAATTAACTAACAATCCCGTACAAGATTATCGGTTATTCATTGTTCAAGTAGTTAAAAGTCTGTTAAGAGACTGTTCTTTTTTTCAGGCGATGCAAATTGATTAACCAGACACAGAAAGTGGCAACAATTTCTTCCTACAGCCTAGGTAGACAACCTTCACTTAAGGTGACCCTGGAAAATAATAGTTTTATTTGTGTTGCGCGTTCAAACATACGCAATGCCTTTTCCACACAGTGTGCAATCTTTCTACCCTATCGATGCTATCTCCACTCTACTCCCTTTCTTATTTTCTACACACAGATCCCCTTTTTGCCTCTTTTCTTAGAACATTTAATCAATTCTGTTCTCTTTTTCTTACCGCGTAATCTGTGGTTCAAACAACTGGTATCGTTTTGTGCCTTCGTAGACATAACTAAGACAATTCAGGAGACTGGTTGCCATTGTCTAGCTTCTTGAGGCCCACCCGGATTGAAAAGGAGACGCCATCCTATAAGTAACAAACAAAACCAGCACGGTGGACGAAATACCCC